AAAAAAAAAAAAAGAAAACGGGTTCGAAGAAAGTTCAACTCTTTGACTGTTTTGCCCATCTCAACACTGATAAATTCTTTATCTTTTTCATGTTATTTTTATTATATTATATTTTTCTTGACTACTTTGTTTTTTCGTGAGATTAATACAAATAATTCAAACATATACCATCAAACTGATTTTTTCTAAGATTTTGACCCATTTTTTGAGGTCACATGAAGTAAAAGGATAGATACAAAAATAAATAAAATTCAAAGTTCTCATTTAGAAGTAAGAAATACGAAGGTAATACATTTTCTTGTTCTAGTATGTAAAACTTTTAAATGAAACGAGCAGCCGTAAACTCCAAACAAGACGATCTCAATCTTTAAATCGACCTAATTTAAAGATCGTTAGTTAATAAGTCGGGCTATATTGCTTGAAATAAATGACTTTCTATGATTTTTGTTTAGTTAGACTCGTTGATATCGACAAACGATAGTCGACTTCTAGTGATACGTGTAGCTGTTCGTCGAGTCGATCTAAAATAATTTTTTAGCAAAACATATATTTATACTATAAAAAATGAGAACAATTAAACTTTTCTAAAACCAATTAGTTATATCATTATGTAAGTCATAAAATGGACATACATTGCATACATGGAGTTATGTTACTGAAAAAATAATATTATGATTTGTACCAAAAGAAAATAAAAATATTATATTAGTAGAATAAATTAAATATATAAATAACATTAATATTTTTTTTTTTTTTGGAAACATTTATCATATTTATTTTATCATATTTATCACGAATAAAGTTGGTGAGGATGAGGTTTGTCGCTTTGTTGGGAAGAAGTTTGGTCGAATTTAAGACTTTTTATGCGAAGAGATGTCGAGAATCGAGATTCACACGTGTCATCTTCACTTGCAATCTCAGACAGTTTTCTTTTTTTCTTTAATAATATAAATAATTTATTAACTTTTTTTTAATGTATATGGAAAATACTCGGCGACCCGATCAACGGATGTCGAGGCATGCAATGGGTCCCACTGCATATATTGTAAATTTATTCAAGAGAAAACGTAGTCAAAGATAATAAAAAATCTCTATCTCTATATATATATTACTAGTACAGAGCCCGTGCGATGCACGGAGTGCACAATTTGAAGGTCATTTATCCATTCTTATAATTATATAAATGAATAAAAAAAATGTACGGGATATATATAGTACGTGGCCTGTAATAGGCCAAAATGTGAACACGAGTGATGCACGTGGTGCAAAATTTTAGGTCATTTATTAGTGCATACACCGTGCGATGCACGTGATACATATAATAAATCAATTATTTTTATAGGACTTGTACGTCTAGACAAAAAAAAAACAATAGGCTTGGATCATCCATATTTCACATTTTTTAATAAGTGGCGTTTATTGAAGCCAAAAAATTAACATGTTAATTAATATATAATTCTACTAACACGTCATATTAATATTTATTTAATTTTAGAATACATATTTATTCATTGATATAGGAAAAAATAGAAGTTTTATTAATTATTGTTCACCATATAATACTCAATTATTATTTTATCATAAAATTTATAGTGTAATTATTATTATTTATAAAAG